TACTTCAGAGAAAATATGGGCATTGAAGAAACTGCATATGGAGTTAACTTTCATTGTGGCAAAAGTTAGCTACTGGACAACAAAGTATCCTCGAATCAACTGCTGACAACAGGACAAAATGGACAGACAGGACATGAAACAAAGGACTACTGATTCTTGCCAAAACAAGTGTGGTTATGGCTTTATCAAAAGGCATCTTCCGAGGCCAGGACAATGTGGCACCGTCCCTGAAGTGGCCTTTGCAATCCGGAAAAGGTACAGTGCTCTTTTATTCAAAGGCAGCTGAACAGGCAGTGGACTGATGGCTTCTGATGTGCAATGAAACAGCAGCTGAAACAGTTATTATTGAAGAGCAATTAAGCTCACGCCTCTCAATAGTAGACTGGCATTTAATAAAGGGATGTGGAGAAGAACGGGATGCAGAGATGAAGCCATATATACACAGCCAAGAAGAATGGACAGCTGAATTCAAAAACCGTCAACAATTTCCAGAATTTAAAATCCTGAATCATGACATGACACTAATAGAATTCAGGTGTTTCTGGTACATGAACTGCTCTCACCCAATGTGAGGTTGAACTGTTGACCTTGTGTACATCCTACTTCACAAATGAGTCTGTCAGATACGCTAAGCCTATAGGCTGAAGATGATGCCCCAACGCTGTGGAGAAATTTCGGTGACTGTCCAGGCAGCTGGCTGTTTCTGTCAACTCACATTTTTTTTTTTTTAGAAGCTGCTTGCATGCATTTCCTGTTTTTATTTTTTATTAGGTAATATTATTTCCTTCTTGGGTCTCTGAGGGAGTTGAAGATTAGTTAGTTATAGTTATAGTTTTCCTTGTTAAGAATTTCAGAAGAGAAACTCAATAAAGAGTAAGTGTATAAATTAGAAAGATGTTATAAGATAGTTCTGTTAGTAATATAAGTTAGGATAGAAAGTGAATTAGGTATATTTTGGACCTACCAAAATAGGATAGATAACGGAATTATTTTCTCTGAATTTGTCAAATACAAATGGACTAGACATTTTTTAGATATTTATTGCTTGTATATATTGTATATTGTTATTGTACTTTTGTATATAGTTTTTCTTATATTAGTTATAACTTTTTTCTTTTTATTAAAATAGAAAAAGGGAAATACGGTGATATTTTATTTGTACTGAAATGTGATTTTATTTGTATGTTAATAAATAAAGTTACCTGGGGATCAGGGCTAATAGCAAGCCATAGCAGAAGCTGAGTGGTGGTGGTGCATGCCTTTAATCCCAGTTCTTGGGAGTCAGAGCTAGGCGGATCTCTGTGTGTTCAAGGATACAGCCAGCATGGAGACACACACCTTTAATCTCAACACCAACCATAGAAGACCTGGAGGTCTGTACAGATAGGCAGTGACGAGGAGGTCATGTGGTTGGGTTTACAACCAATGAGAAGGCAGAATAGAAAGTCTATAAAAAAAGACAAACAGACAGGAAGTAGGTATCTTGCTGAAGAGAACAACAGCAGCAGTGAAGGGTAAGGTTTTTAGCTCTGACCTCTTAGGCTTTCATCTCTGCATTGGCTCTGTGTTTCTTATTTAACAAGACCGTTCATCTACAGAGCTTTGTGAGTTCGAGGCCAGCCTGGTCTACAGAGCGAGATCCAGGAAAGGTGCAAAGCTACACAAAGAAACCCTGTCTCAAAAAACCAAAAAAAAAAAAAAAAAAAAAAAAGTCTGACTTTGTCCATTAAAATCTAAGATCCTTCTATTTCTTAAACTCTGTGTGGCTTAGATATCTCCTTTGTGAAATTAATAAAATAAACCCGGTATTTCTCTCACTGATGGACTTTGCATCTTTAGTAAGAGACTATGCATGGAACACAGAGGCTTGTATCAAGGAAGAATGTCTCTTAGCTGCTGGTGTTTTGTCCTACTCTACTCCACTTCAGAACATATTAAGACAGTCTCAAAAGCACTTCTATAAAGCAGCATGCTTCTTTACATTCAGAATAGTTAAATGTTGGAGGCTGGTGACCTCATAATCAATATGTTAACTCAAGAGGCAAATAGCTTAACTTCAAGACTACAATGATGCCATTCCTCTCTTGACTAAATGTATTACAGTTAAAGGCAATGAAATTATGATTCATTTGTGATCTGTCCTTTTATCCATATGTTTTCTCAGATACTATCTCACAGTCAGTATACTCCATGAAATTGCTGATGATTAATGCAGGACTGAATTATTTATCCTTTCTCTTTAAAGGTTTAAGTAGAATAAATTTATTTGTAGACAGCTAAAATGGTGGTGTGGTATTAAGTTTTTCTTATTAGAAAAGCTTTCTCATTTCAATCTCTCATCTTTATTTGTTTGCTTGTTGAATTACCTTTTATAACAAGGCAGCAGAAGGGTAAGACTTACTTCTATTACTGTTATCAAATAATTCCCTATTTGTGAATTGGAAATGCATCTTTAATTTTATTATATGGATTATCTCCTCTATGTACAGCAACAGTTTTTCACCCATAACTGTACATGTCTATGCTAATAATAAGTAGCAACAGATTCTTTAAAAAAAAATGTGTGGGTAAGGATTCAGCAGTTTGAGCATTAGTCTATCACATTTTTTCCAAAGTTGTATGTTACATTTTGGTAAATCAGGACACATCTGGGAAAGATGTTTTTATGGCACATAAGTTTTTCAGTCTCTTCTCATAATAACCCAACTGATGCCGAATATCTAGAAATAACTTGCCAAGAAAATAGGAAATAAAGTTTAGATGTGGTATCTTAAAGATGATAGAATTCTTATGCTCCTAATATTGCATGGTTAGTTTAAAATTTTCTTAAAATCACCAGATAAGTATGATAAATGCTGTAATATTTAGATCTATCAGAAACAAATATTTTTTTTCTTCAAGTAAAATCAAGAACACACAGAGGAAAATAGTACATTTTCCCTCTATGATATTCAAATAGGTGTATATAATCAACTAGAGAAATAGATTTGTGTGTGTGTGTGTGTGTGTGTGTGTGTGTGTGTGTGTGTGTGTGTGTGTCTAGAGATAAGCAGATAACTGCTCTACCTGTCTATGACCTTGAAGTACATGCCCTTAGGGCATGGCCTCTTGGCTACGCTTAAAACCTAAGATGCATTTAGGCACTCTCCCCTTCTCTCTCTCTCTCACGGGTTTGGATGCATGAATGATTCAGGAATAGTATTCCAGAACCTGACATAATTCTGTTCTGTACAGTGAGTTTTTCTACCCTAATAAATTCTTTGCCCTTTTCTTTGCTTTATTTGGTGTCCAAAATGGGAGTTTGAACCACGACCCTGGGATTAAGAGTCCCATGCTGTACTGACTGAGCTGGCTGGGCTGTGGCAGTGAAAGCGCCAGATCCTAGCCACTAGGCCATCAAAGTCTGTCACTGGAGACCTTTATAAGCATGGGTGAAAATCCAGAAGCATATAAATGATAGTTAGGATGTACCCTTCCCAAGTGATGCATTGGTACAAGTGGACACGCAGAAACTCCACCAACCATTCTAAATGACTGATGGATAATTACTATGAAAGTTAACAATCTACCTTAAATACAGGTAAATTCACTTGAAAATTGTGAATTTTCTACACAAAACAATGATTGCTACTAGGTTTCATAACTTAACGTATTATCCTTTTATGATTTTTAAAATGACATCAGATTGACACAGCTGGAGTAAGAAAGTCTCAAATGACATCGTACTGAGAGTGAATAGTGATGTGTGGAGCTACAAAATTGTTCTTTATTTTTAAGGTAAGTACCCAGGAATGTTTCTCTTACATCACATGCCTTTATGAAAATGTTGCAAACATTCTCATGCCAACACTCTTTCAAGAATAATGTAACTCTTGAATATATTTAAAATGTTATGCTGTGTTAGTAAATTGTGTAATCGATTACATCTACAGTGAATATTAGAATTGCAAAGTCACATTTTCTCAGACAAACACGTCCAGTACACAGTGAAACAGAAGAATGGGTGGTGGAGCTAAGTCAGTTCTCACAGTGTCTGTTGGGGCTTCAGGCGATGACATGGTAGTAAGGCTGTCACAGTGAGACCCCTCAGTAGCATAGTCCCAACATAGCGAGCAGAAGAAGTGAGAATTATAAAAGATGACAAATGATCATCTCCTGAAACCCCTTTCCCAAGCTCCTTCTTATAATGCAAGCATGCACGCACACCCCAGACACCCGAGGCTCAGGCACCAAATAAACTTGTCCATTGCTTCACTGTTTATTTTTTTCTAGGTGAGTGAGATACTGGAAATGAAAGTAAAGTGAAAAGTCATTCTATATCACAAAACTCAAAGAAAAGGGGATACATAGAGAACGTGCATAGATAGATGAAAATACTTTCATTGGATTAAGCACAAAGTTAGTTTAGAAGTTAAAATAGGAATTGATATTATTAATAATTGGTATCAGATGCCAAAGCTAAGTCCAATGGCATAAGGATCTATGACTGGAAGAGTTTAATCTTATTCTCTTAATGGGTAGAAAATTACCTTAGACGTTTGTGTTTGCTACAAGTATATGAAGGCATAATGGCAAGGTTGACTTGATACTGTGGCAAGGTTATTCTAACAATTATTTATGAAGTGCTTATGGTACTAGGTTAAGGGGACATAAATGTACCATATGTTTAACGTTCTAAACTAGGATAGGTTTAACTGGGGTAGGCTTGTTGGTTACACTGGAGTAATGGTATGTAGGTGATCAGAGTAAGATGGGAAATGGAAGAACAAAGAAGACAAGACCCCAGCACTTGTGAACTCACACAAGTTCAGGCTGCATACTGAAGCCCTGCACAGGATGAGGCCAGCCCCCACTCCCTCACGGGTATGGGAGGAACTCCTGATGCTTCACCCCCTTCTGAAGAGTAAGTGACAGCTTACGGTTGTGTGGGAGTGCCATTTCCTTCAGCGGTGTAGTCAGTGGCAAGTTGCCTGTGGTCCAGTAAATAATCCACAACCTGTGCTCATGCAGATAATTTTAATTAGACTAAGTGTATTACAAAAATAAAAACAAAAAGACATCATAAAAATTGAATGGGGACTCATTGTGTAGAAGCATTTCATTGAGAATAGGAGATCATGGGGTTGAACATGATAAAATTATACTATATTCTATATAGATTATGAAACCATCAGTGAATATATAAAAATATTTTTTAAAAGACAAGAATCCACAGAGTCATGCAACAGGTTGGACACCACGTGTCATATACAGAAGAGCTAATCCAACACTGGGGGTGTACTACAGAGAGACAGAGATGACAGTGAATTACCTACAAGGGGCATGGCTGGATTCCATCAGCTTGGGTGCTGATGCTACCCTTAGGACACTCTTTAAGACTTGGTTCACTAAAAAATAAACTAAAACAAAGAATCCTCAGCCACCTTGGAGAGCACTGACTACAGTTGATATCTAAGGCATACTCTGTGTCTTTGTTATCACCCTTTTATGCTTATTAAATTCGAAATAGTCATGGCCATTCCAAAGCTTCTATATGCAAGCCATCCAAAAGATAAATAGGGTCTCCAAATCTCTTGACATGATGATAAATCCTATACAAATATTTCTTCTTGCCTGTTTTGCCTTTTCTTTCTCTTTATCCCAGATGCTTAGGATAGATCGCAGGCAGACTTTATCCCTTTATTTCTAGTTATAAAGCTAAGTCTTTGAGGGCTGCTCTCACTCTCCTTACTTAGTAGGTTCAATGCCTTCCCCTTGAGGCATGGCTGTATTTTACTGTATTTGCTATCTAGTGAGTGATAGATAGTTCTCTGTGTAGTGTTAGACCAGCACCATTATTTTTCTTATTTGTAGTCCTTAGGAAAAACTGTTAAATAAGTTAGGAGTATAACATTCTGAAGCTGTGAAGTGAAATTGAGAACAGCCAGGGTTCTTTCTGCTCCTGTCCTCTCCTTTGAAGTTTCTTCTCCACTTTAGCCAGCATTCCCTATTTGACATGTAAACTGCATGCAGTGCTTTGCAGGTCACCTGGCTTAGGAGCAATGAGGGCATGTGCAGTAATGACTCCATCCACCAGTGAAAGTGTTGTTGAGCCTTAGGGGAACAGCTTCCCAGGACCCTAGGCTTTATTACCCTTTGCTTTTATCTTGTACACAACAAATTCACTTCTTACAGCCCATGCTCTTACACATCCAGTCCTGCTGGATTTGGACAGGGTGATAACAGTACATGGTGAATCTATTTGACAGTGGCTGGTAGGAAACAAAGCTGTAGATATTGAAAGACACAAACTGTTTTAGAAGGCACTTGCCTAGTCTTCAATCAAAACAAAAGCCCCTATCACCTGTCAAAGAGAGCAGACAAAATCTGAAAGTCTAGCATTTCTTGAAATTGGAACTCACAAGGCTCTTGAGCCTATTGGAATAGCAGGGTACACTTCTTCATATGAATATAGAAAATAAAGCTTAACATTCTTCTTTTAGTTTGTTCTCTTCCTTCTGTAGTACTACACACAAACTCTCCATTTCATTGGCTGTATATAATTTTATGTAAATATTTCTATTGGCTCTTCCCAGTTGACTCTCATCTCGACTATAGGTACCATTGTTGATACCAGAGTAGAGTTCCAAGTTGATAGTCTCATGTGATTAACTACTCCTCACTGGTCCAAGTCCAGCACACCAATTTCCACTTTTCACGTGCTTCATCCATCTCAAGTGTGTGTTAAAAAGTTCTGCATTCTGTTGGAATCTGTGCATATTATTTCTTTATAGAAAGAGCCTGTATTTATTTGCTTGGGGTGTTCTTGGGACTTCAGCCTAGGAATAGCCTGACAAGAATGATGGATGGCAGATGTTGGTCTTGAATAGCACATGCATGTCTTTCTTTAAGACACCAGCTTCTGTTCTTGTTACAGGCTCTAGCAAGAACAAAGTTTCCCGAGAACTGTCAGGGCCTGCTGCTGTCAGGCTGCAGTTTCTGGGATTTGTGCTTCTAATATTCTCACGCTTATCATCAAAATGTTGACACCACAGATCTCATTATCTCATCCAGTCCCATCAGAGCTTTGATTTTATGGAAGAGATCTGTTGAATATAAGCATTACACCTCCTTTCATGTCTCTTAGGTACTGGATCTGGTATTGTGAACCAGATCAGCAAAAAAAAAATTGGAATTTTCTTAAGGCTTACCATAGACCCCCCATATGGCTCACTGAGAATCTTGACAGACTTATTTGACATGTATAGATTTTTTTTCCTTCCCTGAATAGAAGCAAAGTATCCTTTATTCTATTCAGAGGGAGTTTATGTAGCCACATTGTTAAAACTAAATTAAACTTGGTCTATAATAACAAATTCCTGATCATAAGAAAGCAAGAAAAAAATAAAAATCAACAGTGTTAAAATTAATATCTGGAAATAATTGTCACTTGTACACTTACTCAATATTCTTTTATCTGGGACAGTAAACTACACCAAGCTTTTCACTTAAGTTAAAAAATTTAAAGGCTGGGTTGGCAAGATAGCTTGGCTGGTTAAGATGTCTGCTTCCAACACTGGTAACCTGAGTTCAGTCTCCGGTGTCCATAGGGTAGAAAGAGAGACTTGACTGACAAATTGTCCTCTGACCTCTATATAGTTGCCATGACACAACACTGATACTACACACACACACACACACACACACACACACACACACACGCACGCACGCACACACACACACACACACACACAGAGAAATGGAATTTTTAAAGAGTTATAAAGCCCTATTCCATTAAGAACAGTCCAACAGACAGGAAATCAAAGCCCTGTTTATGGAATGGAGTGATGGAGGTAACCCCAGAGTGCTGCCCTGGTGAGAAACTAGAAGAAGGACATAAGAGAATGATGGGCAAAAGAGGTCATGGAGAAGGACATGTGAAAGAAGAGTAGACAATGTAGCCCTAGTAGGTGCAAGGAGGCACTGAAGGGTGAACTGTCTTTGCCTTTGTTGAACACCTGTAATCAGAGCTCTCCATTGAGCCCAATGCCTAGTGGGCTCACAAGAGTCAATAGTGAAGTCTACAGACATGGATGGGAGGATTAGAGAAAAATAGATACTCAAGTGTTAGCAATTAAAATTAAAATAGTTTGCTCACTAAAGGTCAAGATGAGTAAGATGTATTTATGGTGACTAATATCTATCCATGGTAACTACTAGCTGTAAGCCTCTGGCATTTTGAATGTGCTTATATGTGCCATAGAAGGGACCATTTGCTAGTTTGATTTGTATAAAAGACAATGTTCAAGCCATATTAAATAATATGAAAATTATGGCAAAAGTAGCCATGTTTAGAATGATGCCATGAAGTATTTTGCATTCTAATACTTTTATGATCATATAAACAATAATTCCAAGTGTGTGTTTCATGAGATGTTTATATTATTTTAAAGTGGGCAACAGAGTCATAGTTATTCCCAGTTTCAAAAAGGCAACTAAAAGCACATGATTATCCAGAGATGATTATCCATTATGATTATCCAGAGATGACAAAATACATACATGCATGCATACATACATATATATGTACATAAATGCATCTCAAAGACAAGGCAGGCTGTCTGAGCCAGGTTCTCAACCTAATGCAATTTGCAGAAGATGACCTATTTCAAGATAATATTTTCTTGCTTTGTGTGCTTACCTGATAATTGGAGCTGTGAGATTACTGCCTTCTCTCTGGGAGATGCAGCACATTAAGGGTGAAGTAGTGTAATGGGGTGAATATGAGGAAGCTTTGAATTTCAGTATGTACAGAGGTTTTGGCTAATATTCCAATATGCTTCTCTCCTAATGATAGATTTCAGATAATAATGATTATCACTGTTGGAATTAATTTTCTATATGACTGTAGTGTAACCATTTAATTTAACTGATTTGCATCTGAAGCAATTATACATTCTCACTATTAACTTAATGAATGCATACTTTCTTATTATCCATATAGTTTATGTGATATTCAGAAGTTTGGGGGCATAAAAACTGTAAGTGAAATCTATATAAACCACATTAAATTATGCTTTCAGTACTGAGAGATTCAATAATACTTATTCAGAATCCTATATCTAAATAAAATCCTGCTTCTTGCAGTTCTTAGAATATGTGTTTCTTTGAGTAAAATTTGATTGACTGGTCATGTCCAACTGCTCCTTATCCCTGGAAAAATTTTGTGACTTGATGATGAATATTTAGGAGAGGCCAAAGATAGCATTATTATTTTAGGGTTTAGTGAGTCTAAGAAAAATAAACTTATGATGCAAGCAGGTTCTATGTATCTTGGGGAAACATCAGAAAATACATGAAAGTGATGTAATTTATTTGGAAGAAAGTTCTCTTAGACACACACAACAGAATGATCTGGTTGCTGGGTTTGACACAGTATGTCCTTCTGTAGACAATAGAGAAATCTACACCATGGCCAAATGTAAAGGAATCGGCCTATCTTATATGGATGAAAGTCATGAACTGTCTAGTAATGTCCCTGGTGGTAACTATAGGCAACACATAGTTATAGGGCTCTATTGTCTGTGAGAGCCCTTGGGAAGGAGTGGCAGTCATTGTAACCATTAATTTCCTGATTGGTTCTTCACTCATAGAGGAGGAATACCCAGTGCTGCTTTTTCTAAATTTAGTGATTAAGTAAAAAAATTCTCTACAATGCTTTTCATTTTTGTTACCATTGTGATCCTGGCCTCTGTCTTTCATATAGTATTATAATTTTGTGTTTTTCTTCATTTCTGTGTAAAGAATATTCCTTAAATATCTAAACTAAGTTTTGTCCTTCCCTGTGTGGCTCATGATGACTCTCAGAGGACTTTGGTCACAGTGAACAGGGAATGGATACTACTTGAATAAAAAGTGAACAGTAGATGAAAGAAGAAAGTATAATTACTGCAAAACATGAAATTGATCTATAAGGGTCCTAATCTGATCGTACATCCATTATGTTAGTGACCTAAATGTTTTATGGAGAAAGTATGCATATTTAAATATGGCTAATTAAAAAATCCATAGCTGTTCTTACACTGAAGACATAGCAGTAAAGAAAATAAATCAATGTGTGGCCCAGTGATGCTTACATCTTTGGGGACGATTATGGAGAAGTAAATGAAGAACATACGCAATGATGGTAGGAGCTATTGGAGAACATAAAGCAGACAGAGTGAGACTGCGACGTCCTAAGGAGGCAAGGAAAGCTCTCACTAAGAAAATGGGCATTTGAACTGAGACTGATAAAGTAAGAGAGTGGGTGATATAGCTATTGGCAAAGGGACAATCTCAACAACATTCCTATTTTATTTTCATTATGTATATGCATTTGAGTGTTTTGCCTGCATGTAGATATCCACACCACCTGCATGCCTAGTGCCCATAGAAGTCAAAAAAAAAAAAAAAGCATCAGACTCCCTGGAAATGGAACTATGGACAGTTGTAAGCCCCCACATGGTTGCTGGGACCCAACCCAGGCCTTCTGGAAGAGCAGATAGTGCTTTTAACCACTGAGTTCTCTCTTCAGTCTTCATAGGCAGTATATCCTTATGCAGTACCTTTGTCCAATAAGCAGCTGAAGGGCTTATTTACAGTAAATAAAAATGGTAGGAAGAAATGTGCACACACAGGTTCCCTACTATAAGGTGGTCAGATAGGTGAGGTATGTCCATCACTGGGAGGACGCTGAGGTTTGGTGTCATTAGCTATTTCAATCACCTGGGCTGCAGGATGAGGAAAGGCATTAAGATGTAGACAAGTGAATGCAGAAGTCATATTCAAGTGAGAGCAGAGTTGAAGACAGAGCTAATGGGATTTTCTAGCAGGTTGGATGAGGGGTGTGAGAGAAGTTCAGAGACGATGACAAAACCTTTGGATTGAGTAACCTAGAAACCTGACATTAGTAACATGGGGGAGAACGTGTAGAGTGTCAAGGATGGGAAGTAGGTTTGTTTTATCTTCCAACGTTTTAAAATATTGTAATTCTTAAATGTCATTTAGTCCAAAGGGAGAAGAGAAGTAATGAAAAAGGGAAAGGAATGGACTTGGCCAGAGATACAGAAGTCATCAACATCCCACCTTAACTTTACAGTCACAAACTAAAAAGTATTAGTAGAAGTTAGATGAAGAAATGCAAAAGGGAAGGGGGGGTGTGAACATGAATAGGAGAGAATGGAAGACAAACAGTGGAGAAAAAGGAAGACTAAGAATGTTCACACCACATCACAGTTTACTTTCTTAAATTCTAAAACTCAGATATAAAAAACTAGCATCACTGGATGATGGTCAGAGTGTAGTAGGAAAGGGAACACCCAGTGGGCAGCTGGTGGGGGAGGAGTGGTGGGGGTAGTGGCTTCACTTCCCTTGCCTTTTCTTGCTTCCAGAGGCTTCTAGCAGTTCTAGCATGGTTCATGACTCAATCCTCCATGTGAGAGATTGTTACCTGGAGCATCCATCCTATCCATACATAAACAAAATTCAGGATTTCCTTCCAATGTGTTTCGAATCACCTGGGACTCCTATCCACCATTCTGAGTATGTATCTCATGTGCAAATATTTGTCATAAGCAGGAGACACTCATGGTGTAGAGCTTCCAGATAGACATGAGCAAGTCAGTCTTTTAAAAATAATACTATTACAGTGGGATTTTAAACTCTCAATCTGGTCTGCCTGAATGCTCCAGCAGCAAGTGTCTACCCTCAGGCTCCAACTGAGTTTTCTTCTGCTGTATCTTCCTGTTTCTAGTTTTAGGGCCAGGAGGTTGCTCTGATTTGTCAATTCTCTGATGGATCTTAGAAGAGTTAGTTTTCAGTGTGTTCAGCTTGTGTGTGTGTGTGTGTGTGTGTGTGTGTGTGTGTGTGTGTGTGTGAGAGAGAGAGAGAGAGAGAGAGAGAGAGAGAGAGAGAGAACAATTGATATTTCTAAATCTCAAGAACTCAAGACTAGGCATGCCTAACAGTCATGAATTTTGTCCATCTCATTCTATCATAATACATTCCAGAAAGGTTTCTGCATCATTATAGCTAACAAAATCTTTGCAGCACACATGGATGGATGCAGTAGACAGCTATACATCATCTTTCAGAACATGAATGTGAAAATTTGGGAGAAAACATTTATTTATTTTCTTACTTGCTATTATTTTGTGATAAAGCATAACAACTGTCTACTTTTTACTATAAATATCACAGTGGTTTCCATTATGTGGTATCTCACTTGGTTTGGCTGTGTTGCTGAAGTTCAGTTCCCGAGACATATCTTAGGATGAAGGACAAGTATCTACCCATTTCAAATTGCTTTGCTTTGTTCTATTTCTGCTCTGTGCCTGCCTTTTCCTTCATTAATCACTTCTTACGATTCTGTCACTTTAAATAGCATCTGTGGGATAAAAGCAATGTGTCACAGAGCACACTATACCAGAAAACACTCTTCAGTTTGCTCTGGGCTTTGAGGATGCTTTTGCTTACTAAATTCCCAAATACCTGTATTTGGACTGGCCCGTGAATACGTTCTTTACTGGATTGTCAGGCCAGGCAGATGAGTTCAGAATGTGTGTCTTTAGAAAAATATAAGGTATTATTAACAGGTTAGTATATGATTTTCACTAATTAACATCACTAGAACCAGGTAAGGCTCAAAAATAAATTCACTACATACTGTGGGGAAAATGTATTAAATACAGTTTCCAAGTTCACAAAGAATGTTAGGTACAAAGTCTCAATGAAACTCCAGTTCCTCATACTTTGGAAGTGAAGGGATTTTCCCCCTTGTTTTGCTTTTGTTACCTTTTTCCTTTCAACCCTGGGATCTGCTCACTTGAAATGAAAAAGTAACCCTAATAATTGAATAACATCTTATTGACGAATGTCAACTCTTCTGTCAGGTCTGCTTATATGACAAGATTTTTATTTGAATGGTCATTTTTAAGTTTTATTGGAGTATGTTAATTATATCCAGCAATGATTTTATTATGCTATGTTCACACATGTATTTGATGCACTTTGATCACACAGCCACTATCCTCTTCTCCTCCTACTGACTCCTTCCCTCTTTCCAAATAGTGTCCCCCTTCAGCTTTCCTCTTCTTCCTTTGTTGTGGATGGTGGTGGTGGTGAAACAATAGGCTTAATTACGGTTACCCACAGGAGCATGAACATGCTACCCATGGCTACACAACTGTAGATAATCTCTCTCACTCCCCAGAAACCAGTATCTGTATAAATCCCAGGGACAGCTGGAGGTATGTGAACTCCTGCCTGTTCTATGGTGGAATGTGGGTGGTCCAAGTGGATATCTGATGCAGCCCTTGGACAGGTCATAACAGCTACTGAGAGTTTAAATGTGTAGCAATGACATCATGCCTGGAGGACAGTGTTCCACTGACTCTCCCTAATTCCAGGCCTCACATTCTCTTTGCCCTACAGTCCCTCGTGCCCTCTGAGCTGGAGATGGGGTGACAGAGTTGTCTTTTGGGGCTAAGCACTCAGCAATCACTTATTTGTAGCATTCTGAACAAAGAGACTTGGAGGAGAGACTGAGTTTATTGGTTTATGTCCTTGGATCTGGATTAGTAGTAAACTAACGAGGTCAAGGGAGAAGGCACTTGTCATGGAGGTGGCAGATCCCTGGGATAGGTGGGCACATTGTATCTGGATCAGGAAGAAGAGAGATGAGTGCTGATGCTCAAGTTGTTTTCATCTTTTTATTTAATCTGGGCTCCAGATTTCTGCTCACATTTTGAGTGTGTCTTCTGTGATCCTTCTGTTGAACCATGCTATCAATACTCTGAGACCACACACAAGGGAGTGATTTCATGGTAATTCTCATTCTGAACACACTGTCAATCAAGATAAAGCACCATAGGTCCTACCCTTGAGTCATACCACACCTCTGAAGGCAGCTAGTGGAAGTTTGTTCTCATAGTAGCCTTGAACTACCAGGATGAATAGTTCATGTCCTCAGAGTGACCTTGTACTAACAGGATGACTACTGCGCCCTTTGGATATCAGTTTGCTTGTGATTATTATCTTTTTTTTGGAATTTTTAGTTGAGAATTGTGTGCCTTGATACACTGTATCTTGGTGCTGCTTGACCACCAGTGCCTTGTGTTTATGTTTTAAAGATTTTAGGAACAGCGCTTGTTCTGTTTCTATCTGGGACAATAAACTCCTCTCTCTAGACACAGTCCTGAATTACACAGGAGTTCTGATATGGTCACCCCCTCTCCCTGCTCATTCCACTATTCTAGTAATGAGTATGAGGTAGAAAACCTGCCCTCCAACTTACAGTACAGGAACGCCAGGAGTGGTAATGAGGTGAACTGCGTAAAACACTTGGAGCATAAAGAATGACATCAATTATTTCTGCCTATTAATCTCATGAGATGTAATTCTCGGCTTTATAATGTGGAGCTACACTGCAGTCTCAGGTGTTCAGTGAGAACCCTACTAAAGTAGTTCTCAGTTCTGCAGCTGTTCAGTTCCTATAAAGAAATCATAGTGGGGGAAATGAAGAGGCTTTCTGCAAGTCACAGTAGCAGAGTCTAGAAAACTCACCGCACTGTCGGATAGTAAGGGTGGAACATTTAAGTGGTAGATATGTGTGCATATGTGTGAACTGTTTGTGTAGGACAGAGATTGGCATTGATCTATCTAGTATGTTGAGACAATGTCTCCAATGGAACTCAAGGCTTACTGATTATCTCAGTCTAATAGTTACTTTGTTCCAGATAGCTAGCTCCTTCTTCATGTGTCAAGTGCTGAGATTAGAGGTGGACCACGCCCACCAAGTATTTGCATAGTTGCTAGGGAGCGGGACTCTGGTCCCCACTCTTCCATTGTGAGTGCTTTACCTACTCAGACATCTCCACAGCCTCAGACTTTCTATATTTTAATATATTTCACTTCTTTATTTTTTTTAATTTATGTCAACTTTTTTTCCAGAAGTTTATTTAAGTCTGTGTGGCAGATCAGTGACTTGTCATAGATATCAGGATGGCATTTAACTTAAAACATAACTGACAGGCTGTAGAGTTGAAGCCAAGTCATTTAACGCAGGCTGCTGTGGGAGCAGCCATTAAACTTGGAGCTCAAATGTGAAGACAGATACTTCTGTCTTTGTGAAACGTAGGTATTTCATTCTCAATTTTGTCTTGTGAATAGTGTTTATCTAATCTTGCCACTGTTTTGATTTCTGATCTGTGTATCTACTCACTTTTTTTAATTCCAGGTGTAGAGCATAGTGTCCTGAATTTGGTCTGTGTGCTCACAAAGAAACACACACACACACACACACACACACACACACACACACACACAGGCACACACACACTGAGGCACAGATTATGACCTGTCCCCAGTCATCACTTTAAAGAAGGCAACCGCCCATCTGTTGCAAAAAGATCATGTGATCCACTGTCTCAGCCACAAGGCCTTTAGGACCCAGAGCAGCTTATGAACTGAAGCCAGGCTCTTGCTCTGTAGCCTTACTTGATGGGGATAGTGTGGGCTTTGTCCTGGGTTTGGTCACTGTAGACTAACGAAGAAGCTGTCTATTGGCAGATCTCAGACCTGAGCTTCCTGTAAGGTTGTGATGTGTCACTGCAAGGTATGTCCTGCCCAACCCTGCTTCCATCCAGTTTTCTGCTAATAGAGGTCACATTGGGGTCACAGTTGACAGGTTTTCCTCAGCTTCTCTGTTCTCAACCCTGTTCTGGCTTCCCTAGCATTGTGCAGCTAACCTTGAGTCCCTCCTAACTCTGTTCTGATGGTGTCTATCTAGAGAACACCACTGAAGACAGCATGCCTCCTGCTCACCCTTGTAGATTTTCTGGACTTTTATAAGCATTGAGTCAGTATGGCCAGTGGCCCATATGAAGATTATTGTCTTTTGAGCATCTTAGACTATTCCTCTGAAGCCTCATCTTTGACTAGGCAGATTGGACTGAGATAATCACCAGCAACCCAGATCCACTGGTTCCTATATATTGCTTCTACAATCTTCCTGTCTATCTTTATTAGCTAATATTCTCATTCTTGTGACAAAATTTGTGCCAATAGCAATTTAAGGGAAGAAGAAATGCTGTTATTGACTCCTAATTCCCCATGGCAAAGAAGTCACAGCAGCAGGGGAAGCAGAGAGATTAATGCTGAAGCTTTCTCATTTTCTCCCTGTATTCAGTCCAGGATCCTAGGCAGTAGGATGGTGCTGACCACATTCAGGGTGGGACTTTCCACTTCAATTAACCCCATCTAGAAATGTTCTCATGGATTTTTCTCATGATCTTTCTATGGTGATTCCAAATACCATTAAATTGACAATCAAGATTAATCATCATTAATATCTCTAGGAATCTGGTCTGCAGTTCAAAGGTATTATTTTTTTCTACCCTGAGGTCCTGAATAATTTCTCTAAGCATCATACAGCCTAGCCTTCTGGTCATACTTTATATACCTAATGCACTCCTGAAACTCTTGGCAAGATAATCTAATTTAAATTAATGGCAGTTGATCACATTGTTACCTTTCCCCCTGCAACCCCAGTTCACTTTTGTCCACAGCCTTTCAAACACTACTCTGGCTTTGTTCCTTGAATTCAACTCTGAGGGCAGTCACAACTCAGGAAAAAAATACATTTTCTTCTAACCTGATCCTTGTAATGTGTCAATTTGATTTCATAATTAACTAACCAATTTTTTTTCTGTGTATACATTAGTATTTTGTTCAAATTGTAAAAGGTAGAAGATTTTTAAAGATATTTAATTTCTGTAATCAAATTTACACCACAAAGCATTTTGATTGGAGCTTGGATGCAGACAAAGCACATTCGGTGAAGACATTCTTCCCCAGCTTATTTTTTTTAAATCTTTCTTCTGATTATTCCCTGTAGGTAATGGATTTAAACATAAGAATAGTGAAGAAAACATACCTGCTCAAAAATGTGAATTTCAGTTTAACCTTATAAAATTTTAGACTATACTTCAAGTCAGTCTCTATACCTTGGTTTCCCCATGTGAAGAATTTGCAGATGGTTTTCTTGAATTTCAAACAAGACCAATATTTATTTAAGAACTTCAGAACATGAATGAAGAATTGACAACACTGTACAAGGTTTAGTTTGAGTCTCCACAAAACCAAGCTCTTTTCTGGACTCTGTAAGAAACAGTCAGCACAACCAGAATTCGGACAGAACTGAGATAGAAGCACATATCACTTTAGGAGGATTTGTAACTCTCAAGGATTTTCTATAGCAGTAATTTTTGCAAGTAAAAAAAATCCTAAACAGAAGTTAGTACTTTACAATACCACTTTAAAATCCAAAGGAAATATAAACAACAACAGCAACAAAACAACAAAAAAGAAAGAAAGGAAGGAAGGAAGAAAGGAAGGGAGGAAGGAAGGGAGGGAGGGAGGGAGGGAG